AAAAAGTTGATAAGGTTGGTCTGGCATGACTTATTCTTGATAAACCCATGCTGGCTACTACCGATTAACTCATTCCGTTCAAGGTGCTCCCAGGTCTGTCTTTTTTCCCCTTCTTGAAGATTAGGACAACATTCGCTCTTTTCCAGTCTTCCAGCACAACACCAGTACTCCAGGACCTCTCAAAGATTAGAGCCAGAAGCTCTGAGATAACATCTGCAATTTCTTTTAGCACCCTGGGATGCAAGCCATCCAGCCCTGGAGATTTGAAAGCATTTATGGCAGCTAGATGCTCTCTAACCATTTCCTTACTTACTCTGGACTGGCAGTTCCTCCTTCCTTCATATGCCCTGCACTCTTCAGTTTGTAGACTTACGCAAAGTGAGAGTAGAGTAATTCCGCTTTGTCTTCATCCCTTGTTAAGGCTTGACCGTCTTCCCCCAGCAATGAGCTTACCCCATCCCTGTTCTTCTTTTTGCTCCGAATATAGGCATAGAAACCTTTCTTGTTATTTTTAGTATCCTTTGCAAGCTTCAGCTCCATCTGCATTTTAGCCTTTCTGACACCATCCCTACAGATTCGAGCCTGCTTCTTGTACTCACCCTCAGTAATTTGACCCTCCTTCCATTTCATGTACATTTCCCTTTTTAGTTTCAGCTCTTTAAAGAGTTCCTTGTTCAGCCACCTTGGCTTCATTACCCGTCTCACATCTTTCTTTCTTACCGGGACAGTTTGCAATTGTCCCTTAAGCACTTCATTTTTCAGCATCACCCATCCTTCCTGTGCAGATTTCCCCCTCAGCATTTCCAGTCACGGGATCCTACCTAATATTTCTCTGAGTTTTTTGAAATCAGCTTTCCTGAAGTCCAGGATACGAGTCCTACTATGTCCTGGTTTCACATCCTTCTCGATGTCAAATTCCAAGCTGACATAGCAGGTAGCAATGTGAGATTTCAGTGAGAGTTCCAATAAAATTAACTTTGCCTAGGAACTCATAGAGCACTAGCAAGCGGTTGAGATCATCTGCTGTGTCCATTTATTCCTTTTCTTCATTCACCTGGTTTTGTTTTTCAGCTGCAGCACAATAGTTATCCATCATATTTGAGATGGCTACAGAGTAACAGAGTTAGGGTGTGGCCAGCTGTAGCTGGCACCTCAGTGGGGGATAGAAGGGGTTTGGCATTGCGTCCACACACAACATCACTTCCAGCACAAAACCAGAAGTGATAGTATCACATCAGGGCAATAACATAGGATTCACCCAAAACTGTAGTGACATGACAACACTTCCAGTTGTGCACCAGAAGTGAAGTACTATTCTGAATTCCCCCCCTTTCCCCACCCCCACCCTGTGAAGTGGCATCAGTGAATGGGGGTCCTGCCTAGGAGGTCTCCCACTATAGCACCTGTCCTCCCTAGAAAGTGGATGAATTTCAACTTAACCATCAGCAGGGGCCAAGCAGGAATTTAAAAAAACACACGTGACAGCTGCAGAATGCAGTGTTGCTGGGGGAGCAGAAACTAGTTACTACTTGCTCCTCACCACTCACACAACTGAGAAAACAGGAGAAGTTAGGCACATGTTTCTGCCATGTCCCCGGCCCAGCCTATTTAGGAATGATTAAAACATGAGGCTGGCAAAGTAAAGTAGCTTCCCCGCGTAGCTTTGCACAGGTTCAAAATTTTGTTTGAACTCTCTTGTAATTTTATGCAAAGTCTTATGTGCTAGGCTTGCGTGCTAGAGATCCGTAGCCCTTGCAGATACTATGCTGGAGTGCTAACTAAGCAAGTGTGGTTGCAGGTTGCAGCACAGTTTAAAGAAGACGCTGAGCCCATCATGCAGAGTCACATGAGGAAGCTCTTTTTGCCTGACCAGCCTCACATTTAAATCAGGCCTTTCTAACTGGATAGGAGGGCAAACCCCCCCCCACC